AAAAATAGTAATAATAGCAATAATAGCAATAATAGTAGTAATAGGAACAAAAGTAATTATCGTAATAATAGTAATAATAGTAATAATAGTAATAATAGTAATAATAGTAATAATAGTAATAATGATAATACATAGATTCTATACCACAAGTGCTTATGTAATTTTTTCACATCCGACTCTGACCAGGTCGGCAATCTGATCGGGTATGAGCCGGGGTCCGTGTCCTGGACGGTACCCTCTGGTTATGTCACAGTTAGCTATTGAAAATGGCCATAGAAATAGTGGATTTACCCATTAAAAATGGTGATTTTCCATGATTTTCCATGATTTGGGCATAGAAATAGTGAGTTTTCCCAAAAATGGTGGATCTTTCCATAGTTTGTTGTATTACCAGAGGGTATTAAAAAAATATATGAATTCATCCCTTGGTAACAATGGGATTCCCAAAATTTTCATACTATACCGCTATGTTGACATATGACTGAGCCAGGTACGTTTTTTTTTTAGTGGTGAGGATATGTTTCAAAAGTATGAGACTAAACAAGTTCATCCATGAAGGAGGAACTGATTTTACCCATAGTGTAGATGAGTTTGTTCCAAAAATAGATGATTGCCTCTCCGCAATGTATGGCAAATTGAATGCGAGAAATAGCTATAATGCTGTGGAAGGGGGGTTGTCCTATTTCAAACAAATCCTATCAAAGTCTTATTTGGTATCCTTATCATGGGTATCGATATCCATTGATATCCATACTTGGCCTGGATTTCCTGATGCTCACCTGTAAGATTCAAACATTCTGTTTCTATTCTCTTTGTTTGTTCTTACTTGGAAATGTCAATAGGAAATGATATTCGACTGAGGAGATGGATAGAACCATTCAGTAGGATATGTGGGGATGATATCGCCATATCATAGGGGGATGATGTGGCAGATACTTGATCTTCATCTGGGTTCCAATCCAGTTTCGGTCCCTGGCCATGAAAAATGCGTGGTCAATTCAGTTCGCAGTTCGCACAGTCGTCACAGGGTGACCCCTGGACTTTGCACAGAGTCTTGAACGACGTTTCCAACAGGTGTGTTGAACGACGTTTCCAACAGGTGTGTGTTGTCGGTGTTGTATAGCCCCGTGCACGGATCCTCGTGGATGTGTGGATTTGTGCCGTCACCGAACACGAATGACCCGAGACGAGAAATCGTATAGTTCTCTTTCTCCTGCAGGATCCGTAGCTGGCTGAGGGTCAAATGTTCGGATCTGTGGTGAATTCAATTCAACTGGGTGGCCTTTGAAACGTGGCCGTTTCGTATCGTTTCATTTTTCCTTTGTTTGGGATGAAACTTAGACGGTGAAGATCGGTTAAGGGTGAGGTGACAAGCCTGTGGCAATGGATCCTGCACGTCTGTTGACCTAGGCCAGAAGATGCCTAGATGAGACTAATGAACTCGTTTGATCTCATGAGATCAAAAAGGTTTTCCAACAGATGTTGGGGCCAATATACATATATATATATGTATATTTATATGTATATGTATATATATATGTATATTTATATGTATATGTATATGTATATGTATATGTATATGTATATGTATATGTATATATATGTATATATATGTATATATATGTATGTATATATATATATGTATATATATGTATGTATATGTATATATATATATGTATATATTTATATGTATATGTATATGTATATGTATATGTATATGCATATATGTATATATATATATGTATATATATGTATATATATGTATGTATATGTATATGTATATGTATATATATATATATATGTATATGTATATGTATATGTATATGTATATGTATATGTATATGTATATGTATGTATGTATATGTATATGTATATGTATATGCATGTATATATATAATATACATATATGGCCAATATATATGGCTGGCTTGATGGGGCTGCAGCAGTGGGTGATTTTCCGTTCATGGAACCCAATGGACCTGTCCCAAACAGCTGAAAGTGGATCAGCTTCTGTCCATGGCTCAAAAAGTCAGACCCAAATACTACAATCCACAGATATCCACAGATATTTACAGATATTTACAGATATTTACAGATATTCACAGTTTCTTTTGGTGATACGAAATATTACCAAACTTCAAATCTGGCCATGGATCCAATGGATTGCCCTTGGATCACAGCCGTGGCCGTGGTGGCCGTGGCCGCCTTCAGCGCTGCGCACCTGTCGCATCTGACGCGTCCGGCCGACCTTCGCCCAGCCCTTGAGGCGCTGGGCGTCACCAGACACGACGAGACACGGGTGGACAAATCGCAGCGCTACGAACGGGAGCTGAACCGCACCAGGGCACAGATGCTGAACAAGGTGAAAAAATTCCACATTCATGTGTCGCGGTGGAGTTTTCATATGTTTTCATGTATCAGATTGAGATATGTTGACTCGATTTTGATATTTTTGGTGTGATGTGTCTCATTCTTTTGTTATCTTTTGTTATGGTTTTGATGATGGAGACAGAATCCCTAGGCCAAGCGAAATTAGGAAGATGGTTAAACTGGGATGGCGGGGGTACAATGATCCACTAACACAAGATTATTTGGGCAGCATCATACTTTTCAGGCCGTTTGAACCTCTATAGCAACGGTAATCAGGTGTCCTTTTGCATGACTCTGGTGATGGGCTGGAGTTTGATGCGAAATCCAAGTCTGGTGGCACTGACTCAATTTCTGGCGTCAGCGATCTCTTATGTTCTCTTTGCACTTCCAGAAAGGATCACTGGTGAAGATGCCGTGCCCAGCTATGTCGAAGCAATTTATGTGTTCACCCATGGACTATGGGCCCTCGGCATTGCCCACGAAACAGACTTGGTGACCTTCTGTGTTCTGGAAAAGGTTTGTGGAGTGGGATTAATTTTCATGTCAGTGATTTTCATCGACTTGAAAGCGATGCTCTGCTTGTACGCAGGTGAAGCAACTCTGCTGCTCTGGAATCAATGGCATTTGGTTGGTGTGGACCGTGTCAGTATGATGATTTCTTATTCCTTTATCGTGTCGCACGTCTTTGTTCTTGCGGTCATTGTAGTGGTTGATCACACCATGCGGTCCATCATCTTCGCGAAAGTCGATGCCAGTGACGCCTCATCTCTGATGTTGGGATTCCGCCAGGTGTTGCGAGGAGTTTGTGATGGTGATTTACTCTTGGACAAGAGCAGCTGCAGCATTGTGGATGATGCAAGCTGCCTCGAACGCTTGCTGAAGTCCAGTAAGAAATTGTCCAAGACCAATTTCCTGGACCTCTTCCTGGACTCGGAAAGTCGCCAACGATTTTTGCACTTTCTGAGTTCTCAAGATGACGGAACAAGCGCTGGAAGCATGCCACGGGGCCTCAGGATTTCCCTCCAAGGTGCAGATGGTGCAGTGTCGATCGATGTCTTTCAAACCAAGGTACCAAACCAAGGGGCCACAGGAACGGACTATTGTTTATTAGCATCTGGATTGAATGTAGCCATACAGTTGTATCATTTTGTCATTTTTTTTCAGTGATTCATGGGGCAGTTGGGTCAACACATGTCGGATCAAAGTGCCGAGGCATTGAAAGAGGATCCGGAGTCAGCTGAAGAGCCTCCTGAGGCTTCGTCTCAAGCTGCACCACCGATCAGCTCGGTAGTTTCGGCACAATCCGTTGAATCTCAAGGACATGCTGGAAGCACAGCTTCTGAAGTGGTGGAATCCTACAATGAACTCGTTGAATTCGCCCTGTTGGTAAGCAATGAAACTGCTGTGTTCGATGTTAAGGAGGCGCATCTTGCTTTCAGGCGGCAGAGCTCAGAACCAGCCATTCTATCTGGAATGCCCACACTGCGAAGATTCATCCGGCCATCGGATTGGGATCGCATGGAGAAGATGTTTGACATTGTGACCAATCTCCCTCCTTCGGATGTGCAGCAGCGTTGCACCTTCCGCCATCCAATGTTGTTCAGACTTCCAGGTGAATCTCGAAGCTATCTTTGTTCCAGACAAACCTCAGTGTATCTGGCTGGCGAAGTAGTGCCAGACGAACCTGTCCATTTTTGGATGAATTTCTCCTCCTTTGACACGAGTCAAATCCGTCGTCCCAGAGAACCGGAGCTGCAGGGAATTAGGGAAGAATGATAGGCTGCAAACAACTCAAAATGGGCCTCCGTATCCCTAAAATCCATGGATTTGTTATGGTTTGTTAAAGTATAAAATCCTAAATTCGACTGGCTCATTATAGTATCCCCTACTACTTGAGTTGAGAGTCGTGCAGATGGTTCTCAATGTTGAGTGACCAAACAGTGGAGCCTGGAAAAACGCCTTGAGCCAAAGTGCTAAAAAACCAGCCCTTCGCGTGGAATCCACTGACATGACCGCTTGCCAAGTTGCAAAGGACTCGGGAAGAATTGGTGATCTGGTTGGTGCTTTGGAACATTTTTAGACATTTTCTATAGTTTTCGATATATCGGGAATGTCATAATCCCAACTGACTATATCATATTTTTCAGAGGGGTAGGTTCAAACCACCAACCAGTGATATGTGGACCATTGTGGACCATTCTGCTTATTTGCCTTTCTCTCATGGGACCTATCTATGTGATATTATATTCTTATACATTGTCTATCACCAAGCATGGTGGTTGCCACAACATAAAGCAGATACAATATGATACAATCCCTAAACCCGAAACCCCAAACATCCCTGAACTATTTGTTATCTACTAGGAACTGTACAGTACTTGTAGATCCCAAATTTGACCTCTGACTTCCGCTTCCAAACTCCAGTCTTGTTTGCCAAAATGCCGGGCAGATGGGAATCGCCCTTCATCCTGCCCTGCTCGTGAAGGAGCGCTGATGGTGGAATTGGTTGGGCAAGCCAAGAACATCAAGAATTCCTTCTGGAAATGGCACTCCCCATATTCAGAAACATGAGGGTTCTGTATCCGGAGTCAGCATGAATCTATCGGAAAAGAGTTCTAAGATGTTCTATGCGAATATTTCATATTATATATATATTATATAAATATGATGTGTAATTATCATACGGCAATCAAAATCATGATCGTTTAACAGCGTGAGAGGAATTCTCAGTTTGACGGAAAACCTGGTTTGAATTTGCAAAGCCGTCCATCGGTCAACGCCCAATTTGCAAACCACATTCCCTATGGAGCAATCTCGTGGATTTTTTGAGTCATCTCCCTGTGGATTTTAGGAGAACCAGATCTTCACCCTGTGCTGTTTTTTCGCGGTGCTCTTCATCGTTCCCTTCTCTGTGGTGTGCTGTTGCTTGAGGTGCGGCAAGCCACTGAATCTGCAAGATCTGCAAATCCACAGTTCGATGACACCCGATGCGGCCCTTACGGCCACAGGAATCGTAGACTGTAGACTATGTATTTGGATATATATATATAATTATATATATATATAATTATATATATATATATACGTAAATGCCAAAAAATATTGGCGATAGATTAACATCAGGAACCTGTCGACTTGGATAGGACATGAGATAGTGTCAACCCTGGATGTTTTTTTAGCCCTGACCAGGCCGTCAGCTCCCATAAATACCCTGCCTATTCGGGGGTTCATTGATCCTGGTTGAACATTAATTAGTGATGTGTAGTGATATACAGTGGCCTCGTGGGTCAAGATATTTCTCTACTTCTCCATAGCTCTCAGAATCAAAGTACCACTGTCATCCCAGTCATTTAATCAGTTTTTGTTATCTACTAATAGATATTGATGTCCAATTATTAATGGATCTTACATCAAAAATGGATGTGAACGGATATTGACCATTAGCTCCAACTATAAAAATGACCATGTTCGCCTTTGTCAATGGCCAGGGGTTCCAATGTCTCCAGTCATGGGGTCAGTGCGGAGACTCTGAAAATCTTCAACGCCTGCATCAATCTCGAGGCCCGGGTGCATCGGTGCATCCCAGACAATCCGTGTGCAAGTATATGGATCATATTACGTATACATATGTATGTATATACAATTATATACATATATATGGGATATATCATAATACATATATATATATATATATGGGATATATCATCTATAATATATATATATGGGATATATATATATATATCGTATTAAACTGTAATGTTTATAAACCACCTACTAACTGCAATGCACATCTAAGCAATCTGGCAGCGCCGGTGGATCACAGGAGAAATTGGCTGCATAAATTGGAGAATTGACGTTTCACCGATAGATTATGGATTTCAGTTAAAATACTCAGAATTTGAATAATTTATGGTAGGTACCCTCTGGTTATGACGAACATAGCCATGGTTTTTTGATGGCCCATAGAAATAGATGGTTTACCGTTCTTAATAGCATGGTGATTTTCCATGGCTATGTTAAATAACCAGATGGTATATATATATAAATTATGAACCGCAAGGGTTGCAATCAACCAAAATATCAACGATGATGACAAGATCATTGCAATGTAAACCGTAATCCAGTAACAGTAGGGGTATCATGATCACCAGTCAACTGTCAGAGTTTGCATGTTCCAAAAGGTGCGGATACCAAAATATCACCAATCCATTCACTATCTGTTGTGGGAGACGTAAACTGTCCTGAATCACAGTTGCCACTATTCGGCCATATCCACTTGTTATTCCTATGGCTTTCTTTCGTGTGGATTTCCTCAAATGATCAATTGGCTTTCAGGTAGGGCAAGAACTCACCCGTGGGGCTTTAACGGTAAGTCCACGACCTGCGATCTGAGTATCCAGCAAAGCCATAGAAAATCCATTCATTTTAACAGCAATGACCCGCATTTACACATGCTTTTCTCATGAATTCACTGGGCTCCCGGCAGGTGACTGCTGAAGATACTGTGGGCTTACTTGCAGCCTCTGCGGAGGTTCGATGCGTTGATACTGCCTGCACATGTCAGTTTTTCTGTCACAATCATACGATCATATTGATACATAGACGACGTAGGTACATTAGTAATTTGTTAGGATATGTTATACGTGCTAGATGTATATATATATATAGGTATGTAGATATTGAATGATATTGATGCATTGTTGGTAAAATTTCATTCATGATTTCAATCACGATCCCTTACATATTCAACCTCCCGTTCCAGCCATTCCCATTGGCAAAGCTTTCAATGTTTGCTGATGATATGTCAGTTGTTTGGGACAAAAGGTCCATGCCGGGCCATACCAGCATATACCAGCCATACCCATTTAGGTTGCTTGTCTCTCCATACCTGTTGCTTACTGTAGTTCCGCAGTGTGCTTGCTTAAAATCATCACAGTTGTTTTGTGGATGTCCACTTCTTGTGGGTCAACTGAACTGTCGTTGTTAGCGGCCCGTATCTGCCGATTTAATTCCTGAGTCGTCTTAAGCTGACTTGCTGGTTGGTGAAATGACATTGCCAACATGGCAAGGGGAAACCACTATTTCAATGGCCGTTATACAGTTATACCTGGGACTGGGAAAAACCATGGAACTGCTCTCCCGTTGATCTCCCACCCAAAAAGAGAGCATCTGCGGTCAGGAACGCCGACAGCTGTGTATGGATGCTCGGAGGACTTTTGAGGCGCCTGGCTGGGTGTCAGCTCTGGCATCTGCTCCAGACATGAAATTGATTGGCGGAACTCCTTTTGTCGGTGAGATCCTTAGTTTTTGTGAAATTTCGCATATTCAACTCTTGGGTGGTGGGTAACTAATGGTGGTTGTTTGTGGTAAACATCTTCTTCATGGTTTCTCAAATCGACGTGTTTGACTTCCAAACATCCAAATTCAGGCGATCAGAAACATGGTATAAATGTCTGTAAGAGGCCGTGTCGGTGATGACATCAGCCAATGCCGTGGTGATTGTTCAAATGCCCAAAACTGTGGTAATTTGATGTAATCTGATATTTGCACATGTTCATTTCATGAAATTTGTGGTTGAATTTCTATGGAAGGGTCATCTCAAATTTGCAAAACTCGGTGTTTTACCACAACGAAACTGTTATTTCGTGTGCCTGTACCTTCCTGCAAAAGTTTCTCACTTTCTCTTTTTTTCTTCAAGCACAACGTTCGCCAAGTTTGTTGAGGACATTAAATGTAAGGGTTTTGCCCGACACAGCAACATACAAGTACTTCAAAGTTTTGGAAAGTCTTGTCTGCAGTCTTTGTGTGTGTAATTGCCTTAGAATTGGACTTTTTAACCAGTCCCAGTGTCTGTCCAAAGCGTGCCGGCCAAAGACGAAGACTTAGCAGTGGGTTTTCTTCCCAAGTGCATGTGACGTACGGAAGTACAAGAGAATGCACAGCAGCATAGCATGACGTATGTGTGGAAGTGCAAGAGAGCAAGAGCACGTTATTAGCCCACCTCCGCCCACCACCCCACCACCACCCCATCCCCCCCGGAAACATCACCACGCGCATGACTTCTTACGGGTGTTGACACCAGAAACATCTCGTCACTCAAGTTTGGTGAATCTTGGATGGTTCCAGATTGGAAACGAAGAAATCAAATGAATTTGCAAGAAGGGAAAGTATATACCTGCAAATTTGATGGTTTATCATCAGTTTCATTTAAGTATACCCAATATTTGGACATACCCGTGTATTTTTTCTGATTGAATTCGATTTTTGCTGATTAAACCCCATTCGCATGCTATGAAGTTTCAATTAAACTCCTACAGCAAAAATTTCCTGTGACAGGAAGTTTCCCACTAACCACCCCACTAAATCTGTACCCTGTGGCAACTTGGCTATGGAACATTACCTTTTTATATGAGCTATGGTCAATACTCATGGTTAATAACCATTAATAGGGGCTAGTCATCCAATGGTTCATAGGGATTTATAATAACCATTATAAGGATCCTTATTATGGATGGGATGACCATCAACCATATAGTGAGTATTGACCATGGCTCATATATGTAAATCATGTAAAACATCTCCAAATGGGCCGACCCCATACCATAGTTACGTCATATTGAGGGGCAATCCATATTTATCCCGTTATTCATTATCTAGCACAATAGATATGAACCACGGTAAAAATGGATACCCACATATCTGGATCACTATAGAAATAAAATATATAGAAATATGTAGAACTTATATAACTATATATATTCTATTATACGGGATATCAAAACTAGTAATTAGCATAACCACACTAAA